GCGGGTGCAGCTGCAGGTCTGAGAAGGACTCGGAAGTGAAGATTTTCTCCTTCGGCTGGCAGACGTTGGGCCTGAAGGAGGAAACAGGAAGTGATGTACGGATGCAGCCAATCAGAGGAGGGCTGGGCCCACTGGGCCGGCCAATCAGAGCCCAGCTTACCTGAGGATCTCTGGGATCTCTGGGTTGTGTCGGAACAGAGAGGAGGTCTTGATGCTCCGTCCTTCCTTCCCCTCCTCTTTCTTCATCTCCTTCCTCTTCTTCTTCTTCGGTGGTATCCTGTCAGTCAGCCCAGGGGGCGGAGCCTAAACGACACGCAGTCAGGGTTTAAATCAGCAACGAAACAGAGAAAAGAACTGAGAAGAAAAAAGGACGACCTGCAGGTCAGCCTCCTCTTCATCAGTCGTGTGACGAAGGGTCGGTCTCTCTCTGGTGAAGCTCCGCCCCCTCCCAGAGCTCCTCCCCTCCTTCTTTTCTGCTCTCTGCTTCCTCTGTGGAACATCAGCTGATGGTCACCAACAGATCACCTGAACCAGGGACCTGCAGCACTGGGCTCAGATGAACATGCTGCAGGTCCAAACTGGACAGTTCTACAGAACAGTTTGGTCCAGAAGTTAAAGAGATCGACCCAGAGAACAAAGACAGGCCTCCTCTTCCTCACTAACATCATCATCATCATCAGAACCCGTTCCTGACCAAAGATCTGAAGCAGGAAGTGGTTCCGGTTCTGGTGGAAGCTACTCACTGAGATCCATTTCCTGCTGCTGGACAGCGATGATGATGCTGGAGATGATGAAGGCCCGCTGCTGCAGATGTTCAGACACAGCTGCTCCTCTGCTGATGACGTCATCAGGCGCTGCAGAAAGCGGAGAGAAGCAGAGTCTGACCAGACTTCATGGAAAAAACGCTCGATTTAAGCTCAGCGGTCCAAACTCACTGATCTCTGTTTATATCCTGGATTCTGATTGGCCGTTGGTAGGACGGGGTGGAGGGAAGCCACTGGCCGCCATATTGGTACTCCCTAGTTAAACCGGTATCAATGTAAACAATCTGCGCTACAGCATCGAACAACCATGATGTTCTCATATTCAGGGACTTTAGACTTTTAAATAAAGATAAATTCATCACTTTGACACAGACTGGCTGTTTTATAGCATCAATAAATTAACTTTAACTTAGAATAAATAAATAAGCCCATCACATTGCAGAGTCATTATGACGTCAATAAATCATGTATAACATATTATACAAACTATCACAATAAAATTAATGTGTTAATGGAGCAGAATAATAAAGATGAGCCGAAAGTGATTAATTGATGATGAACATTAATGTATTTATGCCATTGTTATGGTAATTACATCTTATATATAATTTCAAGATTTTACATCCAGACTGAATTAAAAGTAAATGTTAATGCTGTAGTATTTTACTGTCTGCAGATTGGGAATGAATGACGTCATAAACTTTCTGCTGTTTCTGGTCAGCCTTTAAATCTGACGTCCATCAGCAGATAGATGATCTATTGCTTAGTTCATCCACTGACTGGAACGTCTTCCTGCAGCCACATGCTGCACAGGGACCCACTTTCATGGTGCGATGCTGTCAGAGCGGGGAGTACCAAGATGGCGGCAGGAGACCTCACTTTTTTAGGCCAGCAGCAATCCAGTGAATAAACAGAGATCAGAGCTCTAATTGGTTCCTAAGGTTCTGGAACAACCGAACAAGCTGCCGCGCGCCTCCCTCTGTGACGTCACACCCCCCCCCCCCGCATGCAGCCTCCAGCTGTTTTATTTCTGTTTTTACTCTGAGACGAAACTTTAAACAGACATTTTTCTGACGCAGTTCTGCAGCATTTAAAAAAATCAGCGGCTTACGTCAGGCTGACGTGTAGCTTCCGGTTTGGATTAAAATGAAAACAACAAACATGATTAGAGCAGAAAATCAGAGAATAAAGAAAGAAGCCTCACCGATATACTGCCCTGATCCACACTAAGACACGTGGGAGCCTCTTCCTGGTACGTCATGGAGCCCCCGCCCCCTTGAAGGTAGTTTGTCTGTAGAAGGGGGCGGGGCTGCCCTGCCTGTGTGGGCCTTAATGACGCCTCATTGGACGCTGCCTGTAGGGCGGCCATCTTGGATCAGACCAAAGAACAGGAGACTCCTTTGATCTCATTTAATCACATGAAAGAGTCAGAGATTATATTACAATAATCTCTGACACGTCACAACACCTTAATGTTAAAATCACTCAGTTAGATTACACTGATTTATTCAGATTATGAACGATTTAAACTGAACTTAAAGTAGAGATTTATGCAAAGTTATATATTTTACAATTAAACATTAATATGATAAACACAAAGTTTTATATAAATATAAGAGTATGTTTTACAAATATGTATTTATATAGCATAATAATAATATTATTCAGTATTTTTAGGGATTGCTCTTTAAAAATGAGTATAATGATCTATGAAACATTTGTTGTAATGTGATTTACAGAAGAGAGTAGAGTTATTATTGTTAATTTGTTTTTTATTTTTTGTCATTGTCAATCCTTTGTTTTTCAAATCGTAGTGAATGGGAAATGTATGTTCTAACTAAAGGCTTTTTGTCCTTATAAGTTTGTCTAAACTTCTTCAAAAAGTCTTTTTCAAACTATGTTTCTTTTTACCATTATTTCTGCATATGTAAACATTTGTTCTTTAATCAGTTAATGTGGGTCAGAAACTAAATACAAAAATGAATGGAGGAAACCTTAAAAGCAACAGAACCTTAAAATGAAATGAAGGACAGATTAGGGAATATGTGGATAAGAGAGATTAACCTGCTAAAAGATTTTTATTGGATTTATTCCTGTTGGTCCAAACAAACAAAACCAAAACCAACAATGAACAACAAACAACAAACAAAAGAATAAATCGATCCAGGTGGGTCCCGTAGGTCCAGGTTCAGCGGGAGTAGAGTCGACTCTCCAGAACCTGGAACACGGACCGAGGGTCCTGGGCGGCGTCAACATGAACACCATCTGGATAAACAGACTGAAAAGAGACAAGGAAAGGTCTAATGGAGGTTAAATGGAGCTGAGGTTCTAAACAAAGTCCGTTTCCATGGTTACAGGGTTTTACCTGCAGCGCTGCAGAGCAGATCCTGAAGCTGGTCAGCCTCTGTCTCACCGCCTCGGTCCGCAGTCTGTTCTGGATCTCGCTGCTGACCGGATCCGTAGCTCTCCAAACCAGTCTCTCCAGACAAACGTCATCTGGCGCCTCCAGGAAGAACACCCTGGGGGGGACAAACAGTAAGTACCAGGTCTGGTTGAGAGGTTCTGGTATCAGAACATTTCTATTTTTCTTTATAGACCCTTAACCCCACACAGCTCCCTGGGTGACGCACAGTGGCAGCCCACTGCTCCCTTAGCGGGTAGGTTCCCTGCTGTGGGGCAATAAAGGGCTTTACATTAAAAATCCTTCAGAACCTCAGCGGCTGGGTCCAGGTTGATGGACCCGGACCTGCATACAGGTCTGGGACTGGTTCTGTATCTGCAGTAAACAGGGTTCTGGTTTCCCACCTGTTGGGCTGGTGCTGGGACTCCTGCAGGCTCCGGGCCTGCTGCAGGTTCTGGGGGAAGTCATGCAGGATCCAGCCTCTGCAGATGCAGTCCATCCGGCTCAGACGGGTCTCCAGAACCCGCAGCAGCAGGGAGTCTGGAACTGAACAGACGGACTGGTCAGAACACGGCCAATCCAGAACCGCTAGGTTCTGCTCACTGAGCCCACCTGGAAGTCCATCATCAAGGTACGGCTGGATCTCTGCTCCCGGACCGGAACCATCCGCTGCCACAGACCTCAGCAGGTGGTCACAGCTCACTGCCATCAGAACCGGATTTCAGAACCAGTTATAACCGGATCCAAACCCATCCTGTGGGGTTCTTACCGTCCACCACTTTATACTTCTGAGACACCAGCCGGGCCAGATGGCTCTTCCCGGCCCCCGGTGGGCCCAGCAGGACTATCCTTGGAGTTCTGAAGTGAGATCCGGTCCGAACGAACGTCAGAGCTGAGGGAACCAGCAGAGAGAGAGTTTGGATCGAGACAGAACAGAGCGGACAAAGATCAGAACCGTTTGTTCTGGGGTTTAAATAACTGGACTCTAGTTCTGAAGAATAAACCCAGCAGCTGGTTCCTGGTCTAAGAGAACCTGAAGAACCGACATGGAGGACATCAAAGAAACGGGTTCATTTCTAGATGACATCACAGGAACATAGAGTTTATGAATCTCTGAGGTCCATCAATAAACAATAAAGCTCAGTAATAATCATACTAGTAACTAATAACTGGTTATAATAAGTTATAATCAGTAACAATAAATAATAATAATAAGTAAAAATCAATACAAAAAATTAATAATCAATAATAACCATCAGTAACAATCAATAATATTAACTAATAACCAATAATAAACAGTAATAATAAATAACAATCAGTAAACATCAATAATAACCTTTAATAATCATTAATAATCAGTAGTAATCAAACTGGGAAAGGAAAGAGTGTCACCTGCCACTAGAGGGGGCTACCATAGACATTATATAAGTAGACGTCTCATTGGACGCTGGTCGACGTGCCTAGAGGGCGGCCATCTTGGATCAGACCATAGTTCAGACAGCTGCTGTCAGAATGAATAGGATGCACCCTAGGAGCCTTTTATACAGGAAAGACGAGTCAGAGATAATATAAAATAATCGTCACAGTAGAGTCCTGCAACGGGTCGGGTCCCCGACGGGTCACCCGCTAAAATGCTCTTTTGCGGGTTAAAAATACATAAATAAAAATAAACGGGTCGGGCGGATATTTCTTTAGTGCGGGCGGGTAGTTGGTGATTTTTTTTTTTATGCGTGTCTATTCTTATGGACATCAGAAATGTTCTATTAATCAGGCGCTGGGGTCACCCTTGCTGTAGCTTAAAGCCCTGCCGGCAGTGTGGGCTTCCCTCCAAAAAGGCCACAGTCAGTGCATCCAGTCTGCTGCAGTGTTAATGGCGCTGTTCTGCAGCGCAGCGCACTATAGCCTATTACTGGATGGGTTAACGGCTCGGGTTGCGGGTTAAATATCGTCGGGTCGGGTTTGGATTTGAATTGAAGATATCCGCGGGTGACGGGTCGCGTTCGGTAGTCATCCTAACGGGTTCAGGCGGGTGCGGGTTGGGAAAACTCGACCCATACAGGACTCTACGTCACAGCCACCTAAAGTCGTAGGGAAGCGACTGTTCCAATGGTTACATTTCGGAATTCTCCCAAGTTTGGTTGCGGCCGGTTTGTGGGAAGCATCTTGCTAACCAGTTAGCATCTTAGTGCTAGCAGGTTCCCAATGGG